GGTGGTAAGGCGTGTCCAGGAGCCAACACCAGAGCAGGCACAGTGCTCTACACAAAAGAACCAGAGCCTGGGCTCCAAGGTACCCCATTCTGCCCCTACTCAATTCTGTGACATTAGGCAAGTTGCCACCCCACCCTGGGGTTCACCTCCCCTTCTGTAAAATGATGGAATTGAACAACAGGACCCTTCTGGCTCCAAGACCATGCATCTGCCCATCAGGCAACGGAGCTTCCCAGTCAGGCCCTTTGAGAGCTGGGAAATGAGTCCCGAATTCCCTCTGGCCTCAGTCAGGGACAGACACAGTGTTTTTCCCCCCTCTGGTTCCTGTGTCCTGCCCCAAATGCACTGGAAATCTGTGAACTCATTTTTATTTCCCTTCCAGAAGGAGAGGGGAAGCTGGGAAGGCAGACAACAGGGCAGTGTGGCGTAATGAGAAGATGGAGGGAGGCAGGGGGACCTGGCACAGAGGGTGACTGCAGGGGGCCAGGAGAGAAGACACACACACAAGATCAGACAAACCACACTGTATTCAGAAAAGCGTATTAGTAATCACCACTGAACTCTTAAATGAGGCACGTCGGTCCCCTCTCCGTACCGGCCCTCCCCCCTCCCACTCCCACCCTTTTTTGGCCTTTGTAGAACGCTGGAAAAATCCTCTCCTGAGTCTGAAGTGGTCCTAGCCTGTGGGCTGGGGAGCAGCCCACAGTGGTCTTGGACTAGACTGAGTGCTGGAGTCCAGAGAGAGAGGCCAAGGAGACTGCCTCCAGTATTCTAACGTCCTGGGCCAGGTCAGGTGGCCATTAGTAAGGCACAGGGCCTCAAGGGCGAGGAGGGGATGGGTGTGGGGCCATCTTACACATCCTTCTCACATCTGGAGAAGCAGCTGGAGGCCAAGCAGAAGGCACATCTAGAAGAGCCCGTGAGCACTGGAATGTTCTAGGCACATCTGGATGCATAAGGTACCATGAAGGCCAAGGAGAAATCTGCTCCTGAGTAAAATCACTTGACCACAGACAGAGCACCATGGGCTGGGGGCACTAAGAAGACATCCTCGGGGGCCTGGATCTGAGCTGAGACGCAGCTTAGATGGTGGTCTAAGAAAAGAGAAAAGGAACACAAGCTGGAGCCAAAACCCGTCGTTTAGGGTACACAGGCACACGGCTCAGTTCCAGGTATTTGGAATCTTGTGCCCAAGTCACAGCACAAGGAGAATCAGGATTTTCTTATGTTGAGGCAAAACGAATCTTCACATATCTTGGCTCTTGCATTGGATGATGTTGATGGGAAGCTGCTGGCCAGAGGTCCTTCCTTCTCCTGGCTGCGAAACCCAGGCCAGAATGGTATTGCCCATCCAGGGAAGCAGGCCCTGGGAATCTCCACGGCCCCTGCAACACGGAATCCTGCAACAGAAGAACCAAAGTCACTGGGTTTCCGAGGCACTCCCAAGCGTCCCAGCCATGCCCACCCCCAGGCTCTGGCTGGCACCACTGGTGGGAGCTGAGGGGCCAGTTACCCACCTGAAGTGTGGGAGCAGCATGCCAGCCTCTGAGACACTCAAGGGCTCAGTGGCCTGGGATTTCCCAGAGGAGAGGAAACAAAGATAACCACAGTTTTTACAGGTACAGAGTTTAGTTTTGCAAACGATGCTCTAGATATGGATGGTTGCACTACAATGTGGATATTCCTTAGTGCCATTGAACTGTATACTCAAAAATGGTTAATTTTGTTATGTATGTTTTACCACAATGTAAGTGATTTTTTAAATAACCATGTTAACAGTATCTAACATGTATTGACCCCCTACTATGTATAGTATAGCCTGGTCCTGAAGAGGCCAAACTGCCAGAGTTCAAATCCTAGCTCCACCCTTTGCCAGCTGGGAGCCTCTAGGCAAGTTACTCAACCTCTCTGTGAGACTCACTTTCCTCATATGGAATAAGAAAATAATAATAGAACCCACCTCAACAGGGTTGTTGAGAGGATGAAATGAATACGTTTAAGTGCTTTGAGCAGTGCCAGGCACACAGAGGGCTAGATAAATGCTATGGTGACCGAAAAAAACTTACATAAGTACCTCCCACCCCCACCCAGATCCTCACAACTACAACAGAGAAATCGAATACCTCTCCACCTAAGCCTTAAAAACATGCTCACAAAGACACATTCTGGCATCCCCTACTCTAGTTTCCAATCCAGAGAGGGGGGAATTTTTTCAAAGAGCAGACCTTTGAAGGATTTAGCAAAAAGGTTGAATTGTCACAACTCTTTGGACATGTGGTTATTAGTCATCCCTCCAACTTGCTCTCTGAATAAAAACCCTCTAACTTTTAGTGGAGTTCTGTATTTTTATTCAAAGGCCTATGACCCCTCCAGAAAACCAAGATGTGTCATACCTTACAGAGGCTGGGCCAGCTGTTCACCCCAGCTCAAGAGAGCTTTCTTCTCTCATTGGTGAGTGTGACCGCTGTCGCAGTCAATGCCAGGATCTCTTACAGGTGTCGTTCCTTTGACTGGGAAACCATCTGGATAACTTTGGCTTCATTTCCCGAAGAATGTAAAGGAATGTTCAAATCCACCAGTTCCCAGGCCTCTCTCTGGCGTGTCAGGAGCAGCTATTTTCCCTCAGGGAATGGGCCCTCCCTCTACTAGAGAAAGTCCCTGGGAAAGAGGGAGCACCCCAGATTTTCAAAAAGACCATAGCCAATGGGTTGGGCCCCTTAGGAAGAAATGAGAACCCGGAATGTGGGGGAACCTTAGGTGGCAAAATCTGATCCAGGCCCAGGGGCAGTAAACAGTTATTACTCTGTCTTGTTTTACAGCAGGACTTCTCAGAGCCTTTGATATGCTAGCGACTTTCCAAGAAGGAGGGATAGCACCTTTGACAAACCCATTTGGCCTGGAAACCCTCTTTTAGAGGGTAACTCCTGAGCCAGGATCCCAGGGAACACCACTGCCTTAATGTAAACAGCGCTGGAGTGGGAGTTGGGAGACAGGGTTCTAACGTTATTCTGGCTTTTCTTACGAGCCAGCTCTAGGGCTTCACCTGTAAAACTGAATGGGGCTCACCCTGACATTCCCTGGCAGTCATACGGGATCCCTAATGCAAGAAGATACTGGGAGGTGGGAGCGGAGCAGAAAAGCCTGTGAGAGTAAGGCTGGGAAGGTGAGGCCTGGGAAGCTAGTGTGCGTTTGGGTCTGGCCTGCGTGAAAGGAGACGACAAAGGCCAGCAGGCAGAGGCAAGACCGCAGCCCACAGGCCCAGACCAGGCATCCTAGCCTTCGGAGACGGGCTCCACCCTAAGACATCAAAGCACCGAGGGGTAAGCCGGGGAAGGCGGTGCAGCACGCCCGAAAAACTCCAAACTAAAACCAAACTCCGTCGCTCATCCCGGGACCAGTGGAGGCCTGTCCCCAGCTCTGCCCGCGGGCTGCGTGCCTGCCTTGTACAGCACTCAGGGCTGGAAGAGGGGCCAGGGAAAAGGGGTGCTCGTCCCGCCGCGGGGCGGCAGGGAGGGGGCAGGGGCTCAGCCAGAAGACTGGTAACAATTTGGGAGCCTCCCCCGGATCTACGCGGCGCCTGTCCACGTCTCGCTCTCGGCCGGCAAGGGGAAGAGGAACGGCGAGGTCTAGCCTCGGCAGGGGACTGAGAGTGCGCGTCTGCCATGCGGAGGTGGCCTTGCGGGTCCTGGAGACCGCGCACCCTGCGCAGGGATCCGGGCTCTGGGCGGGGCCGCTGCCGTCGGGTGTCCGGGNGGGGCGGGGGAGGGTGCCAGGGCGCACGGGCGCGGGGCAGCAGAAAGGGCCGGGGCGCTGGTCTCCTCGGGGTCCCCCGCCCCGCGGCGGGGCGTCCTCACGCCACCTCCTGCTCGCCCTGGTAGCGGCGGCAGCAGCCGTAGAGCGCCGAGAACAGGTAGAGAGCCAGGCAGAGGCCGCCGCAGACCGCGGCCGCCAGGAAGGCGTGGTAGGCGCAGGGCATCTGGTAATCCTTGAGGTTGCAGTAGCTGTGCTTCTGCGTCTGGTCGATCATGATGGCTGTCGCGGCGCCATAGAGCGCGGCCGCCAGCAGGTCGTGCGCCACGTTGACCAGGAGCCAGCGCGAGCCCAGCACCGGCACCAGCTCGTGCTTGCCCAGCAGCGTGAGGAAGTAGATCCCCAGGGTCAACAGCCAGAAGAGCACGGACACGAAGAGCGCGAAGTGCACGGGCCCCTGGTACCGGCTGGTGGCGATGGTGATCCAGAAGGCGGC